AACCAACTATTTTACTGTTTAATAATAATAATTCATTGTTTAATTATTATTATTATTATTATTATTATTATTATTATTATTATTATTATTATTATTATTATTATTACTATTACTATTATTTTTATTATTATTATTATTTATTATCTATAGGCTAAATAATCGATATTTTATTATTATAAGTATGCCTATTATTATTATTGTTATTATTATTATTTTTATTATTATTAGGCTATTATTATCCTCATCTTTATCTTATTAATATTGTTATTATCTATTATCTATTGTTATTATTACTATTACTACTATTTATTACTTAAACTTTCTACAGAACTGTAAAAAGTTTGGTGTTTACCCCGTATTTATTATCTATAATAATTGATATTTTTATTATTATTATTATTATTATTATTAAGGTATTCATTATTTATATTTATTATAATTATTAATTATAAATAACTGCAATTTGTAAAATAGATCACTTGGAATTACCATCGTTTGTACAGTTTTAACCTGTGAGATTTAATTTTGGTCAATAAAACAATGTGAAAAACTGCGACCCGGATTTGACTAATAATTGGCTACACACCTTGAGCTTAAAAGTTATAGTTCAGACTACTGTATATCTTCCTGATTGCCTTATAATATATTGATATGAGCAGGACATGGTTGTTCATAAGTCTAGTATTTATTTAGTCTATAACCATTGATTGAGTATCAACATTCTTGGTAATGATCTTGAAAGGATGTCGTTGACTTGTCTTTATACATTTTCTGGCGTCGTATTCGGCAATTTTTAAAATTAGACCTAGGGCGTATTATGATTACTTATGCGTTTAAATTCGCCTACTTATTGTTATAAATCAGTACAATGACACTTAAACCGTACAGCACCCGTGTTTATTAATATGCCTTGACTTGACGACAAATGCATTAACCTGTATTATATGGAGGCTGATGTTATCTAGAGATAATATTTCTAGGACAAAGTTTCCGACCGACTATTGTTAAATAAACCAGGGTAAATATGAACATAAATTTATCATGAGCAAACACATTCGGAGTTTACTGCCTATAAATAGCGTCTTAGTTCATATAGGTTTACATGGGCGCTATAGTACATTATTTTGTTTTATTATTGTTGGGGAAGGTGGTTTTTTTTTCGGTGTCCCTTTGTCTAGTTTGATTGATTGATTGATTGATTGACTTATTGATTGATTGATTGATTGATTTAATTAATTCGATGCTCGTCATGCATATAACAGATAAAAAAAGCCTTAAACATTTGCCTTGGAAAATGTTTATAATTTCCAAGGAAATACCGTTAAATTTTTTGATCCTATATTAATAACCGAAAATAAACTTTAAAAAAATACATGACAGCCTCGAGAATTCGAAAACATTTGTATTTATATGGGATCTATTCTTCTTTTATAGAACATATGATATTATGAAATTTTGTGTGTTTGAAAAAATACAATTGAAGAAATAAAAGAGTATAATAATAGAAGTGCGAGTACCCTTCTACTTGGTTGATTATGTAAAGTATCACTTACTAGACGCATACCAACACTAAGCTTTCATTTATTTTTAGCCCTAAAGGGCTATTATCACTTATATAATCTCTTGAGAAACGACCCAAAAAGTCTAAGTATAATGGATCTTTGTCTATTTTGTTTACTTGTTTATGGCACGGTTGTCATTGGTAACCAGTGGCGGTGCCAGCGTCTGAAATCTAGAGGAGGGGGGGGGGGGCAAGTGAAGGGAAAAGGTACAATTTTGGGGGAAAAGTCCCCGAGAGCAAAGTGGGCGTGGTCGGGCGTCAATTAAAATGGTTACAAAGTGGTCCAGCGTCTGAGCTCCCGAAAAATATTACAATTTAGGGGTTTCAGAGGCTTATTTAATGGATTTTATAGATAGTCTACTAATATGTAGAAAATATATATAATTGTTTTTTCTCCCAGATGAATTGTGAGTTTTCTTCTTGTTTGTGAGGTGGAAAACTGGGGGAAGAACATTTTCTGGGGTCAAATGTCCTTGTGGCTTTTTGCAGGCAGTTCGAATCGTATTGAAGGCAATTGAGTTATTGCCTTCAATTCGGTATATACTGTATGCAGATACGGCACTAGTATAAGATGCACACACGTGAAACAGACCAAGCTCCTAATTTCTTTACGCTCATAAGCCTATACCGATGTTCTCTAATTATTCAGGAGATAAAATTTGGTTTATTACTCAAAAAGTTTTAAAATCTGAGTGTCCTCGTCCCCTAGGGGTGTCCACTTGGTAGGGATTGACTGAAATGTTAAAAGATATATTTTCCCTCGTTTCACGCGGAAAAGTGTTCCCTTAATAGGGGTGTGCCGAACGGAGGGGTTCTAATATATATTAAGCTGTAATCGCCACTGAATGATACAATTGCAGTGACATATATTATATATATATATATATATATATTAGTGGTCGTGGGACTGGTTTTGGGCCCTACCTAAGCTGGTCAAACGTTTCGTTTGGGTCTATACCCCAGCTGCACTGATGAGGCCTAGAAGGCCGAAACAGATCCGTCTGCAGATATTGGGATTCCTTCCAGTGGATACTTCGTCGGAGTCATTTGAACCCCCAGCCGGGGACCTCGGCCCCCCGTCGGGGAAATCCTGGCGCCACCCATGGCCGACGCTGAAGGCACTGTGGGCGTACCATACACGAAATATTATTTCGCGGGAACGAAATAGTATTTCGAGGGAAAGAAATAATATTTCGGGGGAACAAAATAATATTTCGAGGGAACGAAGTATTATTTCGTTCCCTTGAAATGATTTCGTTCCCTCGAAATATTATTTCGTTCCCTCAAAATAGTTTAATATAATGTCCCTTTAGGGGCTCCGTATTAAGGAGATAAAAGCTTAACACACTGAATGACGAGCTTATGAGTAATGGACCTTTTCGCTAAGCCCCACCCATGATACGCGCGTATTCTTGGCACCTGTTTTGATTGGCCAGTTGTTAGGTTTGATTGAACTCCGGAAAGGTCTATAATTGTCCTAGCTAATAGTAAAATAAATAAATTGTTTTTCGTTAGCTTAATTACAGGCGTATATCAGGTTTGAGCGCCTCATGTAGAACTACTCTACATGACTAAAAGTTTTACGAAGTGGCTGAATCTACGCCGATCTTACGTCATGCTGTAGTTCATTAAGATAGGCAGAGTTATGTTTTAAGGTTAGGGTAAAGTCAAGTCGACCAATCAGCTTGTTGGGATTTGCATAATTCGGCGTAGACATAGCCACTACGAAAATTTTAACTTTACCGAATATGTCAGTAGATTAAGAAACTGTAATGTTGGCCGCGTTCTACAAGTTCATTATTATGACACAAGGCATTTAACACATTTAATTAATTCATTAAACAGTATAATAAATTCGTAGAACATAGACATAATATTAAAGTCTACATAATGTTATAAAATATGATGTGTGGTGCATTGTGAGAAAACGTTCCTTCTAGAAATGTAACGTGTAATCTGGATCTGGATGAATACTGGCGAAGGACCGCTGGGGTATATGCGCCAGGGGTGCGTCTCTCGGTGTATACACAATACATCGAACCTGACCAAACAAAACCATTTAGTGCAATATTAAAACCACATAGCAATTACCAATCAAAACAGTTCGACAACAACATCAACATCATTTTTTTTAGTACATGACAATTGACTGCTTCATCAAATTGAAGCCCATAACTTGACAGTACATGCTTCTAGGCGGTGCAACGATAATTGTACCATAATTTATGTTTGTCCAAAGTGTAGATTTAAAAACAGGTAATGATTTAGCTTTTTTAGTATTCTCTGGCAATAAATTCCATGCCCTTATAGTGCGTGGAAAAATAGAAAATTTATATTTGTCACTTGAGCATCTTATATCCATAAGGTTATAAAATTACTGAAATTTCTTAATACTCTTCTATTGTTATTATTCTTTATATTTAATGGTACTATTATGGCTGTATTTCCATGCCATGTTCTAAAAAGAAGTGATTGTCTAGCAACAAACCTTCTATGTTGTAGGATAGGCCAATTCAATTGTTTTTGAATCTCCGTAATACTACTATTCCTTTCATAATTTTTAGTGGCGTATCGAGCTGCTTTATTTTGAATCGATTGCATTTTGTTGATTTGTTTTCGTTGATATGGATCCCATACCGTCTGCGCATATTCCACCGTGGGTCTAACAAATGTAGTGTAAGATTTATTTTTAATTTCAATAGGGCAATTACGAAAGTTTCTTCTTAGCAGGTTAAGCGTATTGTTTGCTTTTTTGGTCATTCTGTCAATATGAGCTCCCCATGTTAAGTTGTTGGTAAGCTCAATTCCAAGATAACTAAGTTGTTTTGTTGATTGGAGAATAACATTAATCATTGTATATTTATAATGCTGATTGTCTTTTTGTATTGCTTATTTTAATCACCTGGCATTTGTTGGGGTTAAATTTCATTTGCCATTTATTGGACCATTCCACTACTTTATCTAGATCATCTTGTAGTTGTTTGGCATCCTGGTCATCATAATACATTTAAACAATGTGCAATCGTCGGCAAATAGTTTTATTTCAGACATTATATTTTCTGTGATGTCGTTAATATAGAGTAATATGCAAACACCAAAATACAAGCACACTAGTCTATGTTATAATAAATATATGTATGAACCCCGGTATGAACTTATCATGGACGACGAGCTTTCGTTCAAACAATTTATACCTTCATGTTGACTGTGGTAGGATACTTTTAATGGTACCTTTATGATGATGTAAAACTAAGCTGCTTTAGAATAATAGTTGTAAACTCGCCTACCTCATGGCCACGTGACAAATTATACTTCAAGCAAATGTACTTATTGGTTGAATGGCATAAATGACAATTTACATGATAACGTTACTCTGACCACTATAAAAAGCAGACCCGAACTGATAATTTCAGTTCACACTCAAGTTTGTGTGATTTATTACAGGACAAGATCGCTGAGATAGATTTGAAAACCTTCAGCACAGATAGGAACGATGGACGGAATACCTTATTACAGGTATTCAACGGTTTCTGTCGTTCTCGCTTTTACAATATTTCTTTTGACGTGTACTGGTGGAAGCGTGCACGGTGCGTGCCCGAATCCTCTTCCCGGATCAGCTGGAACTTTTAGAGTTCCAGATGGAGAGACGTGTCATTTAGCGGCTGGTAGTTACACGTTTGGTCAAGTTGATATTAAAGGACGACTGGTTATCAATGCAACCACCGATGTATCATCACTTACACTTGTTGCTACTTCAGTGGATATTGGAACGACAGGTTCTATCGATGCCGATGGTGCAGGGTACGGAGCAGGTAAAGGACTAGGCTCTGGAGGTGCCACTGGGTCTGGAGGTAAGTACGTAATTTGTATTGGGTTTTGATATATCACCCATATACGGCTATACCGTGAAATTTGTTTCATATACTGTATCTCTATTCGTAATAGTGGGACTGAATATATTTATTTAGTCGCGCATGTCTACTTATAGTCTCGCATGTCTCTCATAGTCTACTTATGGCACGCACATACGGAACGTACGAGCCATATGCTGGCATACGTCTGGCCCTGTCACAACTTGACGATTTAGCCAGCGTATGCCGACGTATGGAAAAAAAATGGCGAATACGCTGACGTACGTCGAATAAGTTATTGGTAAGTTAGTTAAGAGCAGGCTGAAGCACGCTGGTATAAGCCTACGTCCTAGTACGGAAAGTACGTCGGAAAGTTTTGTGCATGCACAAACCTTTCCGACGTATGCCAGCGTGTGGCTGTAAGTTCCGTATACGCGGGCCATAAGCTGTAGGTAAGCTAAGCGATCGTTAAGTTACTCAAAAGTCAAAACGTATGTCTAACCTATGAGTAACGTGCTTCGGACTTAGGCCTAGGCCTACATGTAACTTATAACGAACTTATCTCCAACGTATATTGACGTATGTAGACGTAGCTTATCTCCAACGTAATTGACGTATGTAGACGTAGGCCTATTTGACGAGTTCCAGACGAGTTCTAACTTGCAGTTATCGTATAAATGGCGTATTGGCAGCGTTTAGGGGAATAGGTATATTAAAATGGGGTGATGTCAATATGGTGATGTTGATACTGCGATGTCTAGTACGGTTATGATTTTAATCGACGAGCAGCAGCCTTTTTATAGGCTACGTCACGTGATAATCGGCGATACGCTGCCGCGCGCTGTGCATAAGTTGTGAACGTCGGCAACACGCTAAGCGTTCGTTCTATATAATTTACTAATACGTTATTTATACGTCCAATACGTTATGAATTCGCTATGAATGCGCCCAAAGTTTTAAAAAAAAGCATCGATAGTTCAGCGTATGCCAGCGTTTTAGAGAAATTTTGATACGTTTGGCATACGCTGACTAAATCGTCAATGTGTGACAGGGCCAGTTTTGTGCATGCACAAACCTTTTCGACGTACTCGCCGTACTAGGACGTATACCAGCGTGCTCTTAACTTATATACGAAACTTACCAATAACTTATTCGAAGTACGCCAGCGTATTCGCCAATTACTTCATACGTCGGCATACGCTGTCAAGGTGTGACAGGGCCACTTTTTCATTGTGCTTTGTTTTTTTATTAATTAAGTATGTCTAAGCCTATTAAGTGTTTTAGTTGACCTCTTAGGGTCAGTATTGTAACTTCCTTGAACATTGTTAATTAAATTTGTTTATAAGAGACATAATTAATATATAAATATTAGGGCCTATATTAATCAAGATATTAATTAACGTATGAGCGTCTCTTTCTACAAGGTGGCCATGGTGGTAGAGGGGGCATGTCTTCTTCCAGTTTCCTTAGCATCCACGATTCTATTGGTTACGATGACCTCACGGCACCATCAATGCCTGGAAGTGGGGGTGGTGGATCATACGGAGGGGCTGGTGGAGGTGCTGTGTCCATAACAGCTGGCAGTATCAGTCTTGACGGTACCATCACTGCAAATGGTGCCAATGCATTCTTAGATGGAAATGGTAATGGTGGAAGCGGTGGCGGAGGAAGTGGAGGGAGTGTATACATCCGATCAACATCAACATCAAGCATGGGACTGTCCGGTAGTGGTGTTATCTCTGTGAATGGAGGACGTGGAAATGGGAAAGGAGGTGGAGGTGGAGCCGGTGGACGTGTATCTATCGCTTTTAACTCTGGATCATTTACTGGACTAGCCAATGCCCATGGCGGACGTACTGGTATGTATGAATTTAATACATTTTCCACTTGCAGCATAACGTTTTACAGTTCATTGACACTGTAAATAGGATTTTCAATTATCAAACACGGAAACGATCACACTCTCCCGAAATCAGAAAACCGGGACAACCATGAACTTTGCAAATAAATAGGACATAACCACAAGTCATTGCTAATTTTATTTATTAATTCATCATGCCACATATTTCAATTATTGTAATAATAAGATTGTAGGTATGAGTCCGTGTGCTGTACATGAATATAACAAATATTTTATCACAAGAGTTTTATTCGGTTTATAGTGCTATCCATTATCAACGATTCAACAAGAGCTATATCTCAGAGCACTTAGAACCCGTGCAGACGGTTTAGACGACGGTGGTCATATTTATAGGTCATTTAAATGTCCATTTACCTGATCACGGAAACATGTCAATTTCACTTTCAAATATTTACTACAATATATATATATATATATATACTATATATATGTATATATATGTATGTATGTATGTATATATATAATATAGTATATATATAATATATATATATATATACATATACATATATTTACATACATATACACATATATAAACTAGTGTTCTATAGTCCACATGACTCGTTGCTTTAATTCCTTGTTTCAACGCCTTTTGTATAATTTCAAGAACACACGTGGATTTATGATGACATACACACACACCCACACCCCCACCCCACACACACAACACACACACACACACATATATATATATACATATATATATACATATATATACATATATATATATATATATATATATATAAGCTTGCAAAGTAGGCCTATACCAATAATATTTTCAACGATTCCAATGACGTGTTCAAAATGCAGTGACCCTAAAGTATCATTACCCCAAAAGTAACATAATCCAAATGTGCTTCAGATCGTCTTGTGCAAAAGAATGTCAGCATTCCTGCTTAAATTTAGACATTTTTTGCTAGTTTTTTTAATTTTTCTCATCCAGCAATTGATGTAGATAACATTTAATATTGAGATCTATTCATTGAATTTCTCTTTCTTTGTAAATATTTTTAGATATTTATT